TCAACCGGTTCATGTCCTTACAATGAACACTGCAAAGAAAGCCTGAGATGCAGGGACAGTATGTGGCATTAATGAGGAAGATCTTTGCCAATGGACATGCTGAGGTAGCACCTCCCCTGAAAGACAACGAGGAGTGCTGGTATCTTCCATCGTTTGGGGTCTACCACCCTCGAAAACCCGATCAGATCAGGGTCGTCTTTGATTCTAGCGCTCAATACGCTGGAGTCTCACTCAATGATGTGCTCCTCACTGGGCCCGACCTTAACAACTCCCTCCTTGGTGTTCTGTGCATGAGAACACTATAAGGATGGATGAACATATGGAGGTTATCCTGAATGTAGTGTAAACAGAAGTTCTCCAGAATGTTATCTCTGTATTTCATCTAAACGTACATTAGGACTTTACATGTTAAACAACATGTTTTCTAATCACTCAGGTACCACTCTGAGTCCCTGCCCTCCTCCGTCATGGTGGATCTATTCATGAACCGGATCCTGGTGAAGAACAACAGAGAGCAGGACAAGCTGGACACCGAGCGTGAGATCGTCTCTTGCCTGCAGAATCGCGTCCTGATGCTCTTCTTTGCTTCTGCTGCGTGTGAGCACTGCCAGCGGTTTGCACCGACGCTCTCGCACTTCTTCAAACGATTAACAGACGAGTTTTATGTAGACCGCTCTGCCCAGCTCGTTCTGCTCTACATAAGGTATGTCACCTGCACGGCTACACATGTTCACCTGCTGACAGTAACTTTATCCTCATCATTTTGACATGGCAGTCGTTAGCTGTGACGACAAGCTAACGGTGTAAATGTGTTTTCATCCGTGCTCCTTTAAACACCTGCAGAGAAAGAGCCTCAGCGAGTGGAAGTCATGTCAATCAAAGATCAGATTAGAAAACACCAGTAAACACAAACCCAAGGATTACTTTGATGTAATAAAACCTTTTTATTAATCTATCCTCAGATCGGTGACCTGCTCTGGTCACACAAAATAGTCACTAAAGGTTTCCTCCTGAGCAGCTCGTTTAGTTGTCAGCGGCGTTAGCTTCACTGAACCCACCATTTGCTCATTTTAATATGGCTTTGTATGTCGGCATCTGCACCGTGGAAGCTGTGTTGTCGAAGCTGGAGCTCTTTGAAAAACGATGATTTCCTGTTAGCGTGATTAGCTTGCCTACCTGTCGTTACGGAGCCGATCCTGTTAGCAAGATTAGCTTGCCTACCTGTCGTTACGCAGCCGATCATGTGAGCATGATTAGCTTGTCTACCTACCGTTATGCAGCACGTCCTGTTAGCATGATTAGCTAGCCTATCTGCCATTACGCAGCACGTCCTGTTAGCATGATAAGCTACGATAGCTAAGCAACAACCGCAACCCTGAAATAGATTGACAGAAATATGGACCAATCAGTGTTGAGCTTTGACTGATGATTTTCTATTGGTTAAATCAGCAGCAGCCTTGGCACCGACATTGATTAACATATTTACAGACAATTCAGTGTTGTTAGCATGGTGTCAAGTTTGGTAAGTTCAAACCGGGCCATATTAGTGTTTTATAGATCTTTTTGGAGACACGAAGGTTGTAAATGGGATGGTCCCGGTCAAACCATGACCATTAGAGGAAAATGGCCACTTTGAGAATATGATGCTTATTTCTTTAAGCAATCAGTTATTGCAAATTAACATTTTAAATGTTATTTTTACATAGTTTCTACATAGTCTTTTCTGGACCCGCAGTTTATCTCATACCTACCTGCAGATGATCTTCCTTTCTTTCCTCCGTCAGCTTGGACCTTTCAGAGGATCAGCAGGAAAGCTTCCTTAAACAGCTGCCCAGGAGGTGCCTGTTCCTGGCCTACGAGGACCCCTACAGGAGGTCTTTGACACTATGCAGTCAGCTGTGTGGCCAGCCTGCTGGTGAATGATTGCAGTGTAAATAGACTTAGCTGTATGAATCCATTAGCTAAAGCCAGTGTGTGTGTGTCCACAGGGAGCTGGAGTCCATGTTTAATGTGGAGGAGCTGCCCACAGTGGTGGTGCTGCGACCGGACTGCTCCATCCTCATCCCCAACGCAGTGGAGGAGATTCTATGCCTCGGCCCAGACTGCTACCGCAACTGGCAGGAGGCAGCAGAGCTCATCGACAGGAACTTCATGATCAACGAGGACTTTGGGCAGAAGACTGTGTGCAGCCTGAGCAACCCTGTGAGGAGACTGAAGTACAAGGTGGAGGACGAGAAGAAGAGGAAGGCGCACAGAGGGTGGCGAGGAGGGGATGAGGAAGACCACAAAGATGGAGGCGGGTTGCCTTTCTAGTGCAGATCAAGAACAAAAACAGAATTGTTTCTATACTGATACCAGGACTGATACCTGATACCAGGACTGATACGTGATACCAGATACCAGGACTGATACCTGATACCAGGACTGATACCAGGTACCAGGACTGATACCAGGTACCAGGACTGATACCTGATACCAGCACTGATACCTGATACCAGGACTGATACCAGCACTGATACCTGATACCAGTGCTGATACCAGGACTGATACCTGATACCAGGACTGATACCGGATACCAGGACTGATACCAGATACCAGGACTGATACCTGATACCAGTGCTGATACCTGATACCAGAACTGATACCAGATACCAGGACTGATACCAGATACCAGGACTGAGACCAGATACCAAGACTGATACCAGATACCAGGACTGATACCTGATACCAGTGCTGATACCTGATACCAGAACTGATACCAGATACCAGGACTGATACCAGATACCAGGACTGAGACCAGATACCAGGACTGATACCTGATACCAGGACTGATACCAGATACCAGAACTGATACCAGATACCAGGACTGATACCAGATACCAGGACTGATACCTGATACCATAAACTGATCTGAAACCGTAATCCAACAAGTTTTTCAGTTATTCTCCACCAATAGTTCTGTATCTCTAAAATATAAACACAATGTGTTGGACGGATAATGCTAGGTGTCAGTATCGTGAAAGACAACATGTAAACAACCAATAAAACGCTTTGTAAACCTTTATGTAGAGGAACTCTGAATGCTGCCAGCCAATGCTGACCTGAGCGTAGCGTTAGCTTTAAATGCTGCCAAGTATAAAGTCAAGCCAAGCCTCAGTCTGAGCCAAGTCTTTGCCATAATGGCTTGTTTTATGACACCCAGGAGGTTATTGGAAACCATTTCCCACGACACTGGTCTGTACTGCTATGTGCTTCTTCTGTTCATGATCATTTGTACCATCCAATCAAAACACATGCATGCATAATGTGAAACTGATGAATTATTCAGCACCATTAAAATAATTGTGTTAGTAACTGTTGTGCTTTGAGTGTTTATGAAGTCTATGTCAGCTTTACAAGCTGCACAAGAGGCAATCAGAGGCATTCAAAGAGTGTCGAGTTAAATGATACATCATCAGTGATTTCCTTCTTATGTACGGAGGCTCGTTTAGACTTTGCACACATCCTCACACATGTAAAGTGCATCACTTCCTGATCTCTCCTCAGACTAGAATCAGGTTGTTTGCTCTGAGTGACCTGAGCTTCCACTAAATGCTGTCATTACTCCTCAAATGCAGAAAGCTTCTGTTGCATGATGGGATTAAAGACAGTAATGGCCAGAGCATCCAAAAAGATGAAAGCAGAGTGCCATCAGGTGTCATCCAGGTGTGACTGTTTGATAGGTTTAAAAACAGCTCTGACAGGATGGTTCATGTTAAAAGGAGCCAAAGAAATGCAAGTTTCTGTCAGAGAAGCACCAACAAGTCGCCTTTATTGAAAACGACATTTAAAAAACGAGCTTTACAAGTGAAACAAAGAACACCTCTATCTGCTAAGAGCTGAACGAACACACCTATGAAACCTACACACCTGCACACCTTCTTACCAACACACCTGCACAACTAGACACCTACATAACCTACACACCTACTTAACCTACACACCTACACACCTGCACACCTACACACACCTATACACCTTCTTACCTACACACCTATACACCTACTTAACCTACACACCTACTAACCTACACACCTGCAAACCTACACATCTACTTAACCTACACACCTACATAACCTTCACACCTGCACACCTACTTAACCTACACACCTACTTAACCTACACACTTTCACACGTTCACACCTGCACCTTCACACGTTCACACCTGCACAACTACACATCTGCCGACCTACACACCTACATAACCTACATACACACACACACACCTTTACATCAGGCTGCTCAGACTTGTCAAAGGACACAGTCGCCTCCATAAACATGAGCCTGTGTTTATTCCGTCCTTCTGCCTGCACAGCAGCTTATTGTTGCTCACTCAGACAAACCTTAATAATAAAGTCGAAGCGCCCCCCCCCCTCCTCACCTCCCTACCTCCCCTCCCTACCCCTTCAGTCTCTGCACACACGTGCACACACGCACACATAAACAGACAACATGCACGCTAGGCACGTGAACGTTGCGCGTCCCCGAATGCAGAACGCGCAACAAGCTGAGCGGCGGCGAAACAGAGAGAGAGAGAGAGAGAGCGAGCGAGAGAGAGAGAGAGCGTGAGAGAGAGAGAGAGAGAGAGGACGGATGCAAGGCGAGGCTCTGAGCGGAAAACCTTCCCTCTCCTCCTCATCCAGCTGTTTTATTTTCATGTTTTTTTTTATCGCAGCATCCTTTCATGACGCGATTCTTTCCTTTTGAAACCAACATCCGATCTTTGCTCATGTCCGTCCTGATGTGCTGCTGCGCCTCATCACGATTCTTCAAGGATACGAAGAGCTGCTGTTCTCACGTCGACGCTGTTTTCCAGAAAAGGACAGGATGTAAGACGGGAAGCGTCTGATCAGCGATGACAAATGTTACAAACGCCTGATGAGCTGTAAAAATCGACGGAGCGAGGCAGAGTGGCGCGAGCCTGCGCGTTAATTTGCTAATTATTGTTTTCGCGTGTGATCGTGTTTTTTTCTCCTCCATTCATTCAGCCATCGGAGCCGTGAGGCCTGCAGCCCGCACCGTCTCTGGGCATGAAACCCGTGGGAATTCTGATCCCGACGTGACGCACAGTCACACACACAGCGCAGCAGGGGAGACATCGAGCCTCCACAGGACTGAGGGAGGGTGTGAGGTCCGGCCGAGTAGAGACCAGAGCACAGGAAGACCAGGAGGAGGAGGACGTCCAGGTGTTGTTGGACACTAATGACTGCCGAATAGCCCACGCGAATACAACATTGAATATTGAGTGATTTTTTTGAATGCATCGGGCGGAGAGGAGCGGGAGAAAGAGAGGACAGTACAGTGGGTGCGCGAGGGCGCGGAGAGACGGGATGCGGGAGACGCAGTGAGGAGGAGGAGGACGAGGAGGAGGGAAAGCGGAGGATTGACGGTAAGATATGGATATAGGCTATGGGGATGCACCCCGCCCCTCTCTCTCTCTCTTTCCCTCTCTCTCTCCCTCTTCCTCTCTCTACCTCTGTCTCTGTCTCTTCTCTATCTAGCCCTCTCCTCTCCTTTCCTTTCCTTTTCTTTCCTCTCCTCTCCTCTCCTCTCCTCTCCTCTCCTCTCCTCTCCTTTCCTCTCCTCTCCTCTCCTCTCCTCTCCGCTGCTGCCGTCAGGGGCCATTTGATCTCTGTGAGACAGGGATCTGATGTGCTGCTGTTGCTGCCCGGGCCTCTTACCTCTGGCTGCCATGTAAAGCTGGGTCAGTAGTGTAGGAGTGTGCCCTGAAATATTCATGGGCACGTGACGAGCCTCGGAGGAGCGCGTGCAGAGAGAGAAGTGGCATAATGACTCAGGAGGGTCCCACGCTGGCCCACATCAGGGGTTTGACACAGGAGATGGGCTGAGTTACGATGACTGTCACACACACACACACACACACACACACACACACACCTTCATTGCAGTGTTTGGTGTTCTGCAGTGAACATGGACAGACAGACAGACAGATACACACACACACACACACACACACACACACACACACACACCGAGGGGTGTACATGCAACGGATGTTTGTAGGTTTTTTCTGCTGATTGGAACATGAAGAGAAAAAGACCTAGAGAGGAGGAGAGGGAGAGTCATTATCAATATTTCAGTGAAGGGAGGATAGGACAGGTCAGTGAAGGAGGAAGAGGAGGAGAAGTAAGATGGATGGAAGGGGAGGAAAAAGCAGCTCAGAGGTTGACAGAATTCTCCCTCTTATACATTTGTACTCATTTGTGTGTGTGTGTGTGTGTGTGTACGTGTGCGTGTGAGTTCGTGCGTGTGTGTGTGCGTGTGTGTGTGTGTGTGTGTGTGTGTGTGCAGTGTCAGATGGGAATGACAGAACAAAGGTACGGGCGATTGTTTCCATGTAGGGATCATTTACATCAACCACTGAGGAGAAAATAAGTCTATTGATGTTCTTAAAATAGACACACACACACACACACACACACACACACACACACACACACACACACACACACACAAACATATTCCTCTACAGACACATCTCTGATCCAACAGGGACCTTTGACTCTCTCTAAGATGTTAAATCCTGTAATCATCAATGTTTTTAATGTTGTGCTTCTTCTGGCTGTTGTTCAGTCTAAGGTCATATTTTAAAAGGTGGTTTCAGCCACTCTGTGAACTCTGGCTCATGTTGGTCAGGTGGTCTGGCTACGAAACCACCTGTTAGTGCCAACTCTGCTCCTGTCATACATGCTGGACTCCATCCAATTAAATGAGATCAATGACATCACCTACGTTAGGGTGAACGCATCATTCTGTAGAGATGTCTGATTTCAGAATGAGAGCAACATATTTACAGTTTTTATCAGGGAGGCTTGGCTAGTGTCGGCTAGTGTGCTGGGGGGGGTCAATAAGCTAATCACAAAGGCTCGCTCTGTGATCGGCACCTTTTCAGATAGTTTTTAAAAGACTAAGGAGCTCCTTCAGTGAGCGACTAGTGATGCCTAAGTGTTCTGCTAAACAACTTAGGAGCTCCTCCAGTGAGCGACTAGTAATGCCTGAGTGAAGCTCCTTCAGTGAGCGACTAGTGATGCTTTAGTGTTCTACTGAATGACTCAGGAGCTCCTTCAGTGAGCGACTAGTAATGCCTGAGTGAAGCTCCTCCAGTGAGCGACTAGTAATGCCTGAGTGAAGCTCCTCCAGTGAGCAACTAGTAATGCCTTAGTGAAGCTCCTTCAGTAAGCGACTAGTGATGCCTTAGTGAGGTTCCTTCAGTGAGCGACTAGTAATGCCTTAGTGAAGCTCCTCCAGTGAGCGACTAGTGATGCCTGAGTGAAGCTCCTCCAGTGAGCGACTAGTGATGCCTTAGTGAAGCTCCTCCAGTGAGCGACTAGTGATGCCTTAGTGAAGCTCCTCCAGTGAGCGACTAGTAATGCCTGAGTGAAGCTCCTCCAGTGAGCGACTAGTGATGCCTTAGTGAAGATCCTCCAGTGAGCGACTAGT